CCGTTGAATTGGAAGGAATAAGTTCGGCAGCGGATCACGAAATCTTGGCGATCTTCTCTATCTAATGAATGGGAGTCCGCTTTGAAATCGTCCGCCCTGCACCCCCCCCCGAGTATATGCTTCAACAGGAATTAAACAAGGGTAGATTGATACAATAGAAACCTCTGGTAAAATGCCCACCCGTAACCCAGCAGATAAAGTACATTACATAGTCCGTTTTAGGGATTGGCGACTTACCCATTCAGTGACTTTGGCACTGGACGTTCCAAAAATGGGGTACTATCGGGTCGGGTGAATTCAATAATAGACGCCTGTTGGCATTCCAGCCTTCCTTCTCCTTTCAGGGCCTACCCGAAAGAGAATCCAGTGTTTCTTGGTCGTGAATATCTGAATAGGACGAACGTATAGTCTCTAACACGAGTTTATCCGAATAAAAAATAATTAATACTAAATGTATATATTATGCCCATATTATAAAGAAAAAAGAGCCGGCAAGATAATATAGGAAGGGAAAATGTTTTGTTTTTGTGCTCATGTTTATGTTCGTGTATCCAACTAATGAAACATATAAGCAAAGTGTTAGCAAACTTTAAGAATAATTGAGCTCACGTGTCGAGTTGAGCTAAGTTGTTTCGATTCATGATTAAAATATCGATAAATGACGATGAATATTTTTATAAAAATATTTAAATTAATGAAAAAACATTTTACACGGTTTATTGATTCCTTTGACAACTTTATCGGTTCCGTGTCTTTCTTTCTATTGTTCATATCAACCTAAGTTCTCCAAAGAAGATACTCGGGAGTAGCCAACCATGATTTCATAGATGAGGTCGGATAGAGCTCGACTGAGAAAAACAAGTGAAAAAGACATTTTACATTCATATCGATTCAAACAAGATTTCATGATACGACATGCTTTTCCGTTCATTTCTTTTAAGATCCGTCGTGATCTTACAAACTCTACGGATTAGCTATATATATATATATATATATTTCATCCGTCTTTTATGATACAATGAAAATGTCGATTTATTTCGGAATAAAATTTAATAATTGACAAGAAAATTTAAAGGATTTGACCAATTTTCTAATGTTTTTTTAAAAACAAAAATTAATGTTTTTATTGTTAGTTTGGATCCCACTAAGTAATGTTTTGTATTATTTAATGCCATTGATAATCACAACCACTTATTAATTCAATTCTTAAATTATTTTAATTACATTAATACGATTGAATTAGTGAAATTATCTTTTTCGTAATTATTCAAAGTCGAGAAACTATTGAAGACGGTTTGAGAGTTAAGGTCGAGACTAGGGTCAAATTCGGAAATAAAAATATACAGAAAGAACGCTTTCATATCTCTAGTTAGTCTGGTCGAAGACATCGAAAAATATGAAGAGACCTCACAATATTCAATAATTTTCAATTAATTTTGAGATCGACCCTCGTGTTTACCTAATTTGTTATCCGAGCCCATAAAAATTAAACATGGAATCTCGGGATATAGGTCTTAGGTAGCCTCGAATAATATAAGTATTCAATTACATATTTTTAAATCAAACCAAATCTTAGTAAATCTTCAAACTTAAGAATGTCATAAGAGAGATGGAAAGTCAAACGATTATAGATTAGAAAGTCAAAGGAAATACATTTATAAATTTTATATAAAGGGTTTGAAAACTAAAAAAAAAAAATGGTTTCAATCCCGAGTAGAAACCAATTCATTGATTATAACAACTCAACCTCACTACTAGCAGATGTTGTCCGTTTTGGCTCGTTACGTATCATCGTTCATTTCTTCAATTGATGTGGGATCTCATAGTTCACCTTCCTTGAGGACCCAGCATTCCCGCTAGCACACCGTCTGGTGTCTGGCTCGGATACCATTTGTAACAGCCCAAGCCCACTGCTAACAGATATTGTCTGTTTTGACTCGTTATGTATCACCATCAGTCTCATGGTTTAAGAACGTGTCTACTAGACAGAAGTTTTTACCGACATAACTAAATTAGTTAGAAATTAGGGTTTTCAAATCAAAGGAGACCTCGTGTGGTAGTTACCTACTGTACTTTTTGCATTGAATATGTGTTGATTGTTACGAACATATTAATACTCAAAAAAGTTAAACTTTTGAAAGACAATTTTGTCGTTGCATTTATTAGAATTGACATTTCTGTCGAAAGAGACATCTAAAACGACGAGTGAATTGTGAAGTTGTAACACTCTATACTCAAAATTCGGGTCGAAATTTTGAATACACTTGATGGAGTCGACATTCTTTGACGTTCTTCACATCCCTGACATTATTGGGCGTGAGATTCCATATCGGTTGGAGAGGGAAACGAACCATTCTTTATAAGGGTGTAGAAACCTCTCCGTAGCATACACATTTAAAAAATCTTGAGAGAAAACCCGAAAGAAAAAACCCAAAAAGTACCATATTTACTAACAGTGAGCTTGGGCGGTTACCGGGACCAAACTTAACTTTAGAGTTCCTATGATTGAATCATTAAAAAAATGTGTATCTTGTCTCATGGTCACTCTCGTTCGAATGTGGTTTTGGTTTATTCATGTATCATTTCTTTACTTGGACGTGACATAAACAGAGATGTCCATTTAACCCAAAGCGCGAATGAGTCGGGAGAGATTTTCCATGTTAGTTAAACAAGGTCCGGGACAGGAATTATATTCTTTGTCTCTGTCCTCGCCCTGTCCCGCTCATTTTTTATATAGAAATGAAAATTGAAATATGAGGTGAGGACAAGAGAGAGAAGGCTTCTACGTCTCCGCTCGGTCTCGTGCATTTATATAGGTTTAAATTTGTGGTGGTTGATGGTTTCTTCATTGCCATCACAAATTTATTTTATTTTTGACTTTAGGTTACAAAATGATTGATGAGCTCGAGTGAAGTTTTGGGTTTAATATAATTTATTTTAATATATTTTTCTATTTAATTTAAGCACAAATTATTTAAAAATAATAATAATAATAATTTATTATTATTATTATTATTTTGTATTTTGTCTAAAAAATACAATATCGGTCCATATAGTTTAAATTTTTTTAATTAATATCCTTAAAACTTTTTTAAAAACTCCATATAAAAAAAAAATATATATATATATATATATATATATATATATATATATATATATATATATATATATTTACGGTTAATACAACGTTTGAAAAATATTCATGAACTTTCTAGAATAACATTAAAACATTTTATGAATATTTTTTAAACATAGTAATACCGATAAATATATTTTTTTAAAAAAAAAAAAATTTAAGGGTATTAATCAAACTTTTGAAAGTTGTCTTAGCAAAAGCGAGTCTTCATGGGACAATTGTCACTGCTTATGGACCCGAACGTAGGTAATCTATCCATGACGAGGATAAATCTTGGGTGAAACTAAGTGGAGGTCTGAATCGACTGATGTTAGGGGTAAAATGTCACTCGAACCCAGAGCTAGTTGGTTCTCCCCGAAATGCATGGAGGCAACAGTAGTTGACTAGACATCTAGAGGTAAAGCACTACTTCGGTGCAGGTTAGGGTATTTTTTAAATAAAATTTTGAAATTTTAGATGTTTTTTTAAGATAAAATACAAAATTTATGAGTATTTTTATTTATTCCCGAGTAATTAATTACAGCTTCTATTTAATCGTTTTAATTTCTTTAAATACAAATAAAATAATAAATAAATTGATTTCAAAGAACATTCCATTTTGGATTATGATTAAGAACTATAAGAGTAATTAAATTTTTTAAAAAATTAAATCAATTTAAAATATAAGTTTGATTTAAGCTTCTATTTATTATTTATTTATTTATTTATATTATTATAATTGAAGTCAATAGGATAATAATAGATTCCTTCAAATATTCTATACCCTAAATACTATTTTAATATTTGATTTATTTTTTAATTATAAAATTAAGTTTCTTCGATAATAAATCTTTAAATTATAATACAAGAATTAATTATTGATGACCGGAATACTCAGTCCTCTATTTTCAAGTTGGGTTAAATTGAGTTCTCCAGTTCTTATTTAAAATTATTTTCAAATTAAAATCTTATAAATTTCAAATATTTACAAGTTACATGTATCATTAAAATCGGTTACAAACGTTAAATATTTTTAATTTTTGTAAAAGTAAGACTGAGTTGGATTGTAACCTGTTTTCAGGTTGGTCGGGTTGATTATTTTAATAATATAATATTATTTTTCTATTTATTTTGGGTTGATAATTTTTAAATTAAATAATAATAATAAATGGAATTTTATTAACGAAATTTTGTTGTAGGCTAAATATCTCAAAAATTTATAAATATTTTGAATAATTTTTAAAAAAATTCTTAAGTTTATTTTTATTATCTTAAAATTTCTCATTGGTCCTCTTATATGAAAATTGTCGAAAAGTGTTGGGAGGAGAAACACAAGGGTGTGGAAATCTTTCCCTAGCAGACACGTTTTAAAAACCTTGAGGGCCCGAAGCATTACAAATAGTATCAGAGCCAGACACCGAACAATCCTCTAGCGAGGAGGCTATTTCTCGAAGGAGGGTAGACACGAGGCAGTGTGCCAGTAAGGACGCTGAACTTCGAAGGGGTGGATTTGGTGGGAGCTATTCAAAGGGGTAGACACGAGGCGTTGACCTATCATCTTTTTCGTTAAACAAAACGTTGACCTATTCAATCCCTGGTTTATATGTCATCAACTTGTACACAACTCAAACAGTTAAGATATAAATTTTTGAGCAAAACGTCAAATATTTAAAGGAGTCGAGACATGACAGTGTGGTTTAGTTGGTTCAGTTCAGCTCAATTTACGTGGCTCAATCGGTTCAGTTTGGTTCGGTTTTTGCTTCCCTCGTCACTCTTTTCTCTCTCTCAATTGCAAGAATAAACAAAGAAATGGGCCACAAATGCAAGTTTGGAACTATTATTTATACGTCCATTCTTCCCCTTCAAACCACCATTTTCAATCTCTCTCTCTCTATTATCTTCCATAATATGGCCAAAGAAAGCTCCGCCCATACTTCCCTCTTCCACGGCGGCGATCAGTCGTCGGAGGAGAGTGGTTGGACCATCTACTTTGAAGATTTCCTCAACAACCACCACCCTACTAATCAACCACCCACCTCCTTCTCTTCTTATCCTCCCTCTCCCGATCAAAGCTACCCCGTCGCCGATGCTGCCTCCTCCGTCGTCGACCACAAACTACTCGGCAACCACGACGGAGCCGCCATGGGTCCCGGGTTTAGCTGCAAGGATCATATCAACTTTTTCAAGAAGAGGAAGATGATCTATGAGTTGTTGGTTGACGATGAAGCTTTGGAGGACACTGCTAGCTCTCCTGTTAATAGTCCTAAGGTGTGTCTCACTATCCTTTACTTTCTCTAGCTTTATTTTTATCATTTGTGTAACGGCTCAAGCCCACCACTAGCAGATATTGTTCTTTTTGAGCTTTTCCTTACGGGCTTTCCCTCGAGGCTTTAAAACGCGTATGTTAAGGGATGGTTTTCACACCCTTATAAAGAGTGTTTTGTTCTCCTCCCTAGTGGAACATCACAATTTGCATCTCTCGAGATGGATAGAAACTTTCCAAAGCGATAGGAACAGTTGAGAACAAAGTGAACGGAGCGTTCGGGTTTAATCCTTTGATTTCAAGGAGGGAGTTGGTAGGCTTTGACTATTAAGATTAGGAAGAACTCTTTCCTTCTTGTCAGTGTTTTCACAGGCCAAGTCGGAATTCCTCCTTGCGCAAATGGAAACCAATCGTTACACAACTCTAGACACTCTAAGCAAACAACACTTCATGATTTCACGTTCGAACTTCTATAATATTATTTCTCGTCCATTTTGAGTCAAGTCTTAAACTAAGAAGAGCATTAACATCCCGATTTCAGTTTTATGTAAACTTTTGAGTTCAGTGATAATTCAACGATCTCGTGGGGTTTTTTTGTGACGGGTTTTCTTGGACGTGAAAAACATGCAGGTCTGTGATTCGAACTACTTCAGTAAAAACCCGAGGCACAAAGGGAAGCTCATAACTCCTCAGGTAAATACACATAGAAGTGGAAAGGAGAGAACTTTACCTTAAAGATTCAAACTTTTTCATTAGGGTTTTTAATTTTTAATTTTTAATTTTAATTATTATTATTATTATTATTATTATTATAATTATAATTATAATTATTACGAATAAAAATATATATTTTTTGTGGGCAGGTAGATGAGAGAAGAGACATAGGTGATTTAATTGGAATTGGCAGTGAGTACACAGAATTGAAGAAAAGAGGGCTTTGCTTAGTACCTTTTTCTATGATAATTAATTATATGGATCAATAATTCCTCTCTCTCTCTCTCTCTCTCTCTATATATATATATATATATATATCTATATATCTATATATATATATACTCTCTCTTGTTTGTGTAAATATTCATTTGATGAAGGGCTATGTGTTTGTATAAAATGTGTAATATTATTGCAATCAAATGAAGGCATAGCCGACTTTCGGTGTTATAAATGGTATCTGAAAAGGTACTGAACAGTGGGATGGCAAAGACGTTAGGCCCTTATGGGGGAGGAGGTGGATTGTGAGATCCTACCTCGGTTGAAGAGAGGAACGAAATATTCTTTATAAGGGTGTGAAAATCTTTTCCTAGAAGACACGTTTTAAAACTGTGAATGTGTCGAAATGAAATGGGTAAAGCTTGAAATTGTTGCGCAGTTTTTGAAGTGACTATATTAGTCATAGGGTAAAGGAGAAACTCGAAAGAAATTTACTTAATTTTCGCCTTGTTTATTTCGAAACGTGTCCAACAGTATTTGTAGGGTTGAAGAAGACTCGTTTTTATCCACTAGTCTAATGAGACTTGAGGTTCCCTTGAAACCCTATAGCACGACTCGTCATTCACTAAATCTTTTAAAATGTAGCCACGATTGTCACATTTTAAAAGCATAAAGACCAAAACGTAATGTTTTAAAAGTATAAAGATTAAAATGATACAAAAACATTTGTTACAATTGCACTTTTGAAGGTAGCGGATTTGCGATTGTGCGACACTCACTTCCCAGCAAGAAGTGAGTTAAGTCAATTCATTCTTGTGTTGCCTACGGCCAAGCGACGTATGCTCGAGCCTCTGGCCCCGATTCAAGAAGAAAGTTTTAGAAAATGGGGTAGAGAGATTTCAAAATGTTAAGGATATTTATTAATAAATTATAGTTTACTATATATATTATATTTGTCTTATTATCATAGGTATCTTTCCAGTTATTTCCATATCCTTGTAATTCATTTGATTATAAATAAGATAACTTTCACACCATTTAGGTATGGTGGATTAATCAAACATTCACACAAAAGATAGTTTTGAAAGCAAGATTTGAGAGACTGAAATTGGTATTATATGTGATGCAAGCAAAAATACGACGACAACAACTAACAGCATATAACTCTCGGGGATAGGACTAGAATCAATCAAAATAAAATAAACTCATTTCATTTGAAAAAAAAAAAATATATACTATTTTCATTAAAAAAAAATTGACATATATAAAATATAATTTACATAATGTTATTGGGAAAAAATGATTATTAATTTATAAATTATCCAACTTTAAATAAATAATATTCCTCCCATTAAGATGTGGAAGAATTGGTAGAATATTGGTAGTGGGATTTTTCTTTTTTAAAAAAAAGATAAAATAATTAAAGAGAAATTGAATAATTAATTAAAGTTCTTAAAAATCATTGACATTAATTTTTTTAAAAATAGAATTTTGGGTGAGGGGACTTCCTAACTAAAGGTAAACTATAAACAATAATTTGACATCATCAAATTCAAATTATTTATTTAATTATTATTTTAAGGGGAAGAATTTGAATAATTATTTTAATTTATTTGGGAAGAATATATTGGAAAAGAGTCTCCCAACTAACTCATCATTTTAATAAAAGAAAATTAGATTAAAATTAAAAAATTTGTGTGGTCTTTGTTCATATTATTTAATCTCACAAAAAAAAAAAATGTTGATTTATATATTAATGAGTGTTATGAATTTTTTTATTTTTTTATTTTCATTAAGGGACCATTTCTAAATATATTTTTTTTAAAAAAAATTGAGAAAAGATTTCAAATATATATTTTACAAAAAAAAAAAAAAAAATATGATTATTAGTAGTTTTTATCAATTTAATATAAATAACTTTTAAATATCCTCAACCAATGTCAAAATATAGCTTGATATCCAAGTCAATTAATAATAACATTTTGTTTAAATTATAAATTTGGTCCTTTAAAACGGTCTAATTTGTCCTCAAATTTTTTATTTTAGGTTTAATAAGTTCCTAAACTTTAAAATTAGATCTTTAAAATTTCGACTTTATATCTAGCTGTCCTAGCATTCATTTTTTTTTTTTAAATTAATTGATAATTTCCTTTTCATATTTAAAAGAATTTAAGATTGAAATTTATTAGACGTTTTTAAAGTTCAACGGATAATTTTTTTAATTAAAAAAAGCATATATTTAAATAACTTGAAATTTTCCTTATAAAACATTTTATAAAGAGAATATTTACATGCTTAATTTAATGATTTTGTGGTGAGGAAACCATCCTTTTTATTGATTTCAGGTCTATTACCAACCCTACGTGACTTGACATCCTTTTTGTATGTATAAATGACCAAAAGATTCAGACAATGGGATATATCCTTTTTCCACCTTTCAACGCCTTCCACCACTATTCAGCCATTGATAAAGTCACTTACTTTCGGGTAGCTTTTCGACCAACTCTGGTATAACCTCGAAAAGATCGCCAACGAGTCCATAGTCAGCAACCTGCATGTACATTTATATGAAGTATAAGGATGCATAAACTTATGACATGTTACACGAAATTGATTTTGAATGATTAAAAGCATGATATGGAGTAATATAAAACATGACAAGTGATTTAAATCATTTCAAAATCACTCTCAAGTACGTCCGTCTGGAAGTGTGTGTGTGGGGAGGGGACCATGATAAGTGATTTAAACCGTTTCAAAATCACTCTCAAGCACGTCCTTCTAGAAGAGTAAGCATGAGTGTGTTTGGGGAGGGGGAGATATGACAAGTGGTTTAACCCATTTCAAAATCACTCTCAAATGCATCCTTCCAAAAGAGTGTGTATGGGGGAGGGGGGAACATCACAAGTGATTTAAACCATTTCAAAATCACTCCGAACCACATCCTTCTGGAAGAGCAAGCATGAGTGTGTGTGTTGGGAGGGAGGAAACATGGCAAGTGATTTAAACCATTTCAAAATCACTTTCAAACACGTCCTTCCGAAAGAGTGTGTGTGTGGGGAGGGGGGAACATGACAAGTGATTTAAACCATTTCAAAATTACTCTTAAGTACGTCCTTCGGGAGGAGTAAGCACGAGTGTGTGTGTTGGGAGGGAGGAAACATGACAAGTGGTTTAAACCATTTCAAAATCACTCTCAAACACGACCTTCCGAAAGAGAGTGTGTGTGGGGGGGGGGGGGGGGGGGGGGGGGGGG